GTGGTGCTGAGAAGGGAAAAACATTTTTGTAACCTTTCCGAGCCAGGAACTGACCATTGAAGTAAGTGGTGGCACCTGCCAGGCAGTGATCTGTACCAGTTCCCCACCTCCACCCCTCCACCTCCCCAAAAAAACCCTACACACTACAGGAGACACCGGAGTTTCCTACAAACTCTAGAGAAAACTTACTATTTTTTAAACCTGGGTTAAGGTGGTAGTCCCTGAGTTTGGTATAGATAGGGCCGTACATCATGTGGCCTTATTGCACCAGATTTGGGGATATGTCCGCACACCACATTTTGAGACTGTTAGGGATCCAGTGTGACGTAGTGGTTTGAGTGTTGGACTATGACTCTGGAGACCAGGGTTCAATTTCCCGCTCAGCCATGAAACCCACTGGGTGACCTTGGGCAAGTGGCATGCTCTCAGCCTCAGGGGAAGGCAGTGGCAAAGCGCCTCTGAACAAATCTTGCCAAGAAAACCCCATGATAGGGTCACCATAAGTCGGAAACAACTTGAAGGTACACAACAACAAGTGATAGAAGACATTTTACTGGAGGATTGGCAGGGAGAGCCCACGGCCACCACTTTCCCATCTTCTGGCGTAAGCTTCTAAGCCTTTGAGGAAAGGGGAAAGCATGGGGAAGAGGTGAACAATAAATAAATGTAAATGTAAATATAAATATAAATATAAATAAACAAGGGCCCCACTTCAGATTCCCCTGCTCTGAATCTAGACATCTAGACAAATGCTGTAACATTTTTTAAAAAAATAAATAAATACCCTTTTCAAAGCTAGAAACCTTGCAGTTTTGTCTGTCTCTTCCATTTTTGACAGCATGTGGCCTCCATGGGCCACAAATGTGGTCAAATGGGAATTTTAATCAGTCATGAATGGACAGCCCTGGTTACCTTTTAATTTTATGTTGCCTAGATAGCAAAATTTGGAGACATCCAGGTGGGTGTGAAATGATGGAGTAAGAGATGCAATTCTGTGTGCAGTGGGAGCAGAAGTTTGGGATTTGTGAAGAAGCCATGTCTTTAATGAATGCCTTAGGGAAGGCACCTAAATGAAAGGAAGGCCTATAGGAAAGTGCCAACTGGTTTGGAAATCACTGGGGAGGGGGCTATAACTCTGTGGGTATAACTTGACAGGGGTCCTGTCTGCACTGCATTTGCATTACAACAATC